TGCAATACACTTTCATATCAGTCACACTTAATCATATCAGATCATCACTCTCCCCTTTAATCAACAGACTACCACCTTTAGCTACCAAGTTTTCACCAGGCAGCCATGGAACGTGGTGTTAGTCACATGATAATATCAACATCATCATCATCGTCATCCAGATCTCTCCCGGCAGCCGAAGCAGCAACAAATCCTCTGGAAGCAGACCAGACCAGCAAGGTTGGCATGTTGCTACATGCCGATTGGCCCTGCACCCTTTCCATGCCAAGATTTCTACTTTTAGGTCAAGGCTCCCGGGCCCTTTTCCGGATATGGGGAGGTTCTGACGTCGGTCCGGCTGCCAGTAGGGTATACGGGCCAAGGACGTGGTGGACGCCTCTGTCGGGTAGACAGTTCATCCAGACTCCAAAACTTCAAGATCGTCGTGGATTCTAACAGTCGTCTTCCGGGGGCGATTCCTCAGGCCTGCGGCCACAAAAGCCGATCTCCCGACCACCTTTCCCGAGATCAGCACCAAGTGCTGCACACTTATCTTCATTCCACCCACGGGTAGCATACCCGTGGGTGGTAGTAAAATCAAGTCATCCCCTTTCTGTCAAGATTTTTACTTATAGGACAAGGTAATCACTTCAAGACAAGACATCAACTACGTTTCACTTCATCATGGTTGTGAGGTCAGCGGAGCTATCTTCCGGAGCTTCTTTGGATGGCCCTGCATTCGAGGAGCAATGGAGAAGAATGGCTGCTGTCTGCCAACAGGACCTGTAGTCGGCCCTCTTTTTCTGCCGCTCCCGCTGCTCCTGGGCCTTCTTCTTGAGAAGAACGTTGACGTGCCAGTGCAAAGGTGGGTGGACGCCTCTGTCGGGTAGACAGTTCAAAACTTCAAGATCGTCGAGGTTTCCGACAGTCGTCTTTCGGTGGCGATTCCTCAGGCCTGGCAATTAAAATTACTTCAAAGACTTTCTCCTCATTAAAATTCAATTCACTTACAGGTAGCCTTGGGCTTAACCCGTGTCAGGATTAAAAAAAAAAAAAATCACCCATTTTCCTTTGCAATCTTCATTACAATTTCCATCAGTTCCGGCACGATCAGCATCGATGGTGTTTATCCTCACGAAAGGAAACCGATCCTTTTACAATTCATCGCTGCCATAAATTTCCTTTCATCACCATCGCTACCAATCCCCTTGTTCATCCTCCTCCCTCACTTATGACCAACATCGAGGCAGGACGTGGCGTTGGTCCTGCCGAAGGGAAACCTCATCTTCTACGCTTCATCACCATCGCCTTCGCCATCCTCATCACTTCAGTCCTTCAACATACAATATACTCCCACCTCACTCGACATAACCAGCATTGGTGTTAGTCCTTACAAAGACAAACTAGCATTGAACTGTTCATCACTAACACATACTCATCGCCAGCCTCCCTCACCACTAGCTTCCCTAACCACCAACCTCCCTCAGCATCCTCCTCCCTCACCATTGACATAGTCGGCGTCGAAGCAGGACGTGGCGTTGGTCCTGACGAAGGTGAACTTGTAGTTGGGAAGGAGCTCCGCGATGTCCTCCGAGGCCGAGATGCCGTCGCCCTGCCAGTCGAACGCCATGTCCTCGCTGCCGTAGAAGTCTGGCGAAGAAAGGAGAGGAGAAGAGAGAGAAGAGGAAGGGGGAGGAGAAGGAAGATAAGGGGGAGGAAGAAGAGGAAGGGGAAGAAAAGAGGGAGGAGAAGGAGGAAAGGGAGAGGGGGAAGATAAAGAAAAGGGATGGAGGGAGAAGAAGAATAGTGATAGAAGGAAAAGAAAATATTAGAGGAGAAAGACAAAAAGGGGAGTAAGTAGGGAGAGATGGGAAGAGAGAAAGTGTAGAGAGCGGATGAAAGGAGAGAGGGAGAAGAGGGATAGAGGAATTAGCAGAGGAAAGAGGAGGAAAAGAAAAGGGAGGAAGGGGAGAAAGGTGGAAGTGAAAAGAAAGAGGACAAGAGGGAGAATGAGAGGGCAGGGGGCAAGTAGGAAAGAAGAGGAGCGAGAAGGTAAGGAAAAGAGGGAAGAGAGAGTGGGAGAAGGTAAGGAAAAGAGGGGATAGAATGGGAGAAGGGAAGGAGTAGAGGGGAGAGAGTGGGAGAAGGGAAAGAAAAGAGGAGAAAGAGAGAGTGGGAGAAGGAAAGGAAAGGAAGAGAGAGAGGGGGGAGGCATGGAAAAGAAACACAAAAGAGGAGGATGTAATATTACTAAACCGATTAATGTGGCATCATAATCATTACCAGACGTCAGAGTAGCAACTTGTCCTTTTGATAATGCAAACCAACAACGTATCTCTAAAAGTGAGTGGGTAATGATAATAACGATTATATTACTTGGCTGTAAATGAATAGAACGCAGTCATTACAGCTACCACTATGGCATTTCTTTACAACGTAATTTACTGCAAAGCAGGTAGTTGCAATAACGGTAGTCGGCCTCACTTCATTGGAAAGAAATGGACAGGTAATGAAATCGATCATGTAGCTTACAACTCATAATAATAACTATCATTTAACCCATATTTCATCTTGACAATGCATTGCATAGAAGTAAACTGCAATGAAATCAATGAACATCACTTTACTGAAAGAACACGCCCCTTATAAAAAGTAAGAACAGATAAAAGGTGATGGCATTATTGCGATGTCTTAATAATATTACTTAAGTGAAAATGTAACAAATGCACTAATGACAAGAAACAATACATCAAAATGATAGTATAAATGTGTACATTACAATGTATATATATATATATATATATATAACAAAATGCATAATGATAATGATATGAATACATGCATCACGAACATGCAAAAGAATATCTAAAATTAAAATAAATTAAGCACTTTGCAACAAAATTGGATGATCGACTTACAACTGGTCATTTTGATGTTGCAGATCTGCTCGTCGAAGGGAAAGTCGTGATAGAACATTGCGCAACGCAGGGTGATGATGAACCTGGAGAGAGAGGGAACGATGAAAGGGAAAGAGAGAGAGGTAGAGAGAAAGAGATAGGGAGGAAAGAGAGACAAAGAAAGAGTGGGGAGAAAGAGAGAGAGGGGGGGAAGGGGAAGAAGAAAAAAAAAACGACAGAGAGAGAGAAAGAGAGAGAGAGAGAGAGATAACGAAAGAGAGGAAAAGAGAGAGAGACAGGCAAACAGACTAACAGACATTATCTTTGTTTTCTCTTGCCCTACTACCTATCTTTATCTACTCCCTCCACTTGTCTTCTATTTCGTTTCCTCCTCCTTATATTTCTTTCCTTTCCCCCTCTCATTCTCTTCGCCATCTTCCTCATCATCCACGATCCTCTTTTACCCCTTTTCCCTAATACGCTTCCACTCATTCTTCTCTCTCTCCTCCCCCTCCCTTTTCTCTTCTCAAATCTTTGTTCCCCTTCCTTCTTCGTGTCCCCATATTCCTCCTCCTTCTCTTCCTTTTTCTCCCTCTTTCCCCTTTCTCCCCCCCCCCCCCCAACCTGCACCTACATCTGCGCCCACATGATCCTCCCGTCCTTGTACAGCCTGACGCCGCCGAAGGGCTGCAGGAGGGCGGCTGTCGCGATCTTTCTGCGAAGGAAAGGTGACTTTAGATTCGTACACGTGAGTAGCGCGTTTCAGCTCATGACACATTATCAAAATTAAAGACAAATGACGGTAAGTGTTAGCTTAAAAAAGAAAGAAAAAAAAACGTTTTATTTGATCGCATTAATTCAGCGTCCTTCCTTATATACCGCAATGTCTCTTCGTAAGATAAATCAACATTTTCAAAAGCCACGTTCCCTCACTTGCGTACTCGCTAATCCATTCACATACTATTCTATTTGTTTATGGCCATTCAGCCATTCATTTCCTCACTGCCATTCTCACTCCCCGACTCTCTCTCTTCCACAATCCTTCACTCCCATTCTCTCTCACAAACTCACTACCTAATCCCTCCTTCGCTCATTCACTCACTTGAAGGCCTTCCTCCCCTATTAATTTGCTCTCCCAGGCTCCTCGAGAAACTCACTCGCTCTCTACTGACTCAACTCTCGCTCTCCCTTACTGACTCAAACTCGCTCTCCCAATCACTTAGACTCAACTCGCTCTCCTAAAGACTCAACTCGCTCACTTACTAGACTCAACTCGCTCTCCTACTCGACTCAACTCGCTCGCCTCTCCCAACTGTCTCCTACTGACTCAACTCGCTCCTAGACTCAACTCGCCTCTCTTAGATTCAACTCGCCTCACTTATGACTCAACTCGCTCCTCCCTACTCCTAGTCAACTCGCTCTCCCCCTACTGATCTCCACTCACTCACTGCTGAAAACTCGCTCTCCTACAGACTCAACTCGCTCACTTAGACTCAACTCCTCTACAACTCTCCTTACTTGACTCTAACTCGGCTCTCCTCTACAGTCAACTACTCTACCTGACTCAACTCACTGACCAACTCGCTCTCCTACTAACTCAACTCGCTCATTAGACTCAAACTCGCTCCTCCTTACTGACTCTAAGCCGCTACTTTAGACTCAACTCCTCTCTACATCTTACGCCTTCAACTCGCTTCTTAGACTCACTCACTCTCCTACTGACTCAACTCGCTCACTTAGACTCTTCGACCACACTTCCTCACTTACAGAACTCCCAACTCTCTCTCTTGCACTTGACTCACTCGCTCACTTAGACTCGACTCGCTCTCTTCG